CATTAGGTATAAAACCACTTGGTAAGTTGATGCGCTCTTCACTTGACTGACGTGTTATTCGACACTGGTAGGCGTTTACAACCCATATTTGTGTTACCACAAATACTTCACACGTCGCCATCAGTCGCTATAAAAATAAATGGTCGCTACGAATGTAGAATTATTAAAATATGTTAAGAAGATATAATCTCAATGAAGACACTATCTTGTGCAACAGGAGCATTTATGAAACTACACTATCGTTCAAAAGTTTCCGGACACCAGGGCCGATAATTGAGAATGAAAAAAGAAGAAGCTAGATTATATAGCGAAAAAATAATGGAATATAAAATCAATTCTTGTTTTTCTACCCCCTATTCTTATATGTACCTCAAATAATAACTTTAGGCACTTTTATCTGTATAATAAAATCGTTTTTATTTTGTCTTCACATTATTTAAGGTGTGATTTCAAAATAAATTGCAATTGATACTGCCAGTTTTTCTCCTCTACAAGGTCGCATAACTGGAATTTCAATCGTTTTGTCTCGGCTTCCATATTGGATTTTTGCACAGGTGAATAGGGTTTTTTATTTTGATAGCAAAACTATAATTATTAAAACAGCAGTCGCCGTGCGCTGCGCGGGTTCGAATCCCGTACCAAGGGAAATTTTTCTCTTGGCTATGGATGTTGTGATTGTCCGTAGGTGGTAGACGGTCTCTGACTGTCGAACGCGGAGGTACCACCCGGCGGATCTCGTAGGCGGGGCCAGAATGTGTGCATGTTGCATGCACGCGTGTTCCCTCTCCAGAGCCCGTGTGGCGCCCAACCTTTCCCCTGTTTTCCGCATAGCCCCACGGTACCCCATGGGTGGGTGGTAGTTGGAGTATAATATTTTTTTAATATTTGATATTAGTAGTAATGAAACAATTGAAAACAATTTGATTTAAAGAAACTGTTATGAACACTTCAGAGTAAGTGGAAGCTTCAACGATGGCTGCTACTCACATTTCATTTCTGTCATATCTAAGCCGATTGAATTTAAAACATTGATAGTCATCATGTATGGAGAGTCTGTCCTGCTAAAATAAATTGTGTTTTAGTCAATGAATTGTCAAAATATTTGAATAACCGGCCTTTAAACACGTTTAATAGGCGATGTCATCCAATAAGCATGTTAACCAGGTGCCATTTCCAAGGCCAACTATAAAAAGATTAGTTTTTTGGAATTTCTGTCATTTGGCAATGTACGATATATCATACAGTTTTTAAATCAGACTCAACAACTAGGTATATTCATCTCATGGAATATGGGATCCATATTAGCAAAAAAATTTGGTGATTGTGGTCAAGAAGAGAAACGTCATATTGAAATTCTAATTATACCACCTTGTTGATGAGGAAAAATGGCAATATTAGCTGCAATTCATTTTGGAATTCTACCCCAAATAAAGTCAGGAAAAAATAAATACGAGAATTGGGAAAATAAAGTTTTTTTCCGGAAATGCCATTTTCTTAGTTACCTAAATGCGCAACTTTGCCCCCATTTAACCGACTTTGTATCTTTTACCGTATCCGAAAGCCCAATGGTGAATGTCGAATTTGAAACACTAACATTAGAACTACCACCAATTACCTACTACAGTTTAGTCCCATGCGTATCGCTTGAGCCATATATCGACATTTATACAGTGTGCTTCTACAAATAGTGATAATGTAAGAGTGCTTATTCTAGATATGATGAGCTCAATCACCTTGTAGTTTATCAAGAGAACCTACAACGTTGTGGCGAATGCCATAAAAAAGTTCAGTTTTGCTGCAGAAAATGTAGTGTTCCACTACATCCTAAAACGTGTTTCAAACAGTATCACACCGAATAGTTATTTGTTTTATGTCTTGCAACATGTGTCCTTGAAATAAAATTTGTGCTATCAGCAGGTCATTTTACTACCGTCCTTTTTAAAGAACACCTCGTAACCGTTAGTTAGGGATAAAAAAGTTCATAAACTATTTTTGGTTCTTGAAATGGAGTCAATTTACTGTACTCTCACTAAGAAATCCGCAAATATTTTGAAAAAAGTTTCAGTAATATTTGGGTTGTATGGTCAAAATGACGTATTAAGAATATCACAAGCGCGTAGGCAATCTACTTGACCCTTCACTTCACAATCAAGTACATTTGTGGGGGATTTGCCATTTAAAGTTATTTCTATATGCTCGTAGGATATCTATTTCTATATCACACGCACACAATACAGAGCACTTGTTATACATATTCAGAGAGCCTAACATTTGTCAAACAACTGATGCCAAGATGTTACAGTTTTCTGAAATAATAAACACTGAAAGGTGCATCTTTATTCACTGAAGACGTACGAGTAATATCTACGACATATGATGCTTCTAAGGTCATTGTCTTTAACATGAGACTGTATATTCATTGACGTGCATACAGTGACACGAATAATTACGAGTAAAAAAAATGGATATACAGGTTTTCTCAATAACACTTTTGAAGTTCATTAATCGTATAATATCTATGTTGTATCAAAATAAATTATCGAGTAACAGAACAAAATTTTAAGAGTAACAAAAATAATACGTGAAGAAACGCATGGTTTAAAAAACCAAGGGGGCAAGTATTCTAAGAGGAGGTTAAAGTTGGGTATTTTGTACCATTTGGCCTATATTATGAAATATATCGTAAATTACTCATTTTAATTGACTGATAATTTACATTATCGCTATTATACTTATTCTATTAGCATGCACAGCAAAAAAGTAAGAGTTTAAAATAATAAGCTTTTTAAAAAATATGTGCAAACGGTATAATTTATCGATCGGGTTCGTTAAGTTGTACAATGCGATATTTAAATTACATCTTACCAAAAATCATTAAATTTTCATCGTTAATTAAACGATTTGTTTAGCAAATGTAGTTGACTTAAAATATTACTCTAACGAATTAATGTATCGGTAAAAACCGAAATGTTTCGTTTACAAGAAACACCGATTTGGAGCACATTGGTAAAAATAAACGTTATTTTAACATATAAACAACAACATTTGTTTATTTTAAGCACATGAATCTCAAATATCACAAAATGATTGCACCTGACCATGTCCCCTACAAGATATCCCGGTACAATTTAACAAACCAAAATGCCGAACCGGTAAGACTGATTCAAATTATTTTACGTTTATTACATCCTACGCCTTTGGGCGAGGTAGTATGATAATCGCGAAAAAGTTCGAACACAATGTTGTATGACATATACGAAAAACCATCTCACTCATTTCCGTCGGTCTGTTTGTCTGTCTATCGGACTGTCCACACTTTGACCCGTCTATAACCTCAACAGTACTGCTCGGAATTTAATGAAACTTTCACACATGGTTACTGTTATACCAAGGACGAAAAAGCTTTATAGGTTTTGAAAATCGGTCCAGTGGCCGCGGGAAAAAATGCCAAAAACGAAAAAAATTAACATCGTCCAAACGTCGCTTTTTAATGTTTCAGAAGATCCTGATCATTTTTAAAAAATGTTCAGGGGTACAAAATTAGGGTGTGCGGGGTTGTAGGTAGCTGGGGAGGATATATTTTATTTTTTATGTATATTTAAACGCTCCCAGCCCCGGTAATTAAATGTTTTTAATTATAGAGAAATATTTTCGATACGCGTCAAATTCTGCTATCTAGGATCAGCGTTCAGCGTAACAGTCTGATTGATAACTCTGCTCGTACTGCGGCGCTGCTTCTGTGGGCGCTGCCACGTCTAACGATATGGGAAGGAGCAACGTTGCCAGATGGACGGTAACTACCGGCAGGGCAGAAAAAGAATGTACCTATCGACTAATTGTGTGGGCCGGTTTAAGTGACATCAAGTGCAGAGTCAGCCTTCTTGACGCCATTTCTTGAAAAGTGATATCAGATTAAATTTTACCTACCTTAGATCCTGGTAAATACCCAATAATTACCGAATCTGACATGTCAGAAACAGATTATTTGGACACAAATTCTTATCTAAGGTTATATAAAACACACGGCGTGAATACGATTTACAGAAGCCATCAAGTTTAAACTTTTACAAAAGAGGCATCAAAAATGCTAACTAGATAGCGTTAGAATTCAAGTAATTATTGAGGAGGTACCATTTAAAACCCGATACAATATATCCGACTTTCCCCTATATTGTGCTAGATTTTTAGAAGGCAAGATTGTTGACCGAATCAACATTATATTCGCAAACATTAAACGTAGATCTTAAAAAAATAACGTTAAGCCTTCCATTAAGTTATTTTTGAGGGCGATAGCAAATAAGGATGGTTAGAAAAACCAGAGCTATTATGACCAGTAAAGTGGATCATGGTTAAACAGTACTGATTAGTGACAGTCATGGCATGTTGTTTTTTTTATTCTTTTAATATTTGTGTTATGATTACTCCAAACCGGTCAATAAATAAGTCAATGAAAGGCTACGTCTCCTCAATTAATATACCCTGCAAGCCAAATAGCACTGGCGTCGTAGTGTGTACGAGAGAGAGAAGCGCGATAAGCGTGCAATACGTGTGTTAGAAAGAGATAGAAGCACCTCGTTGCCTAGCAATCCGAGTACGAGACCACGGACGCCATCGGCTCACTTTTTTTCACATACATAGCGCACGCTTCCCACACTTCTCGTCCGTACACATTCGACGTCAGCCAAATTTGAACCTCACCGTATAACAAATTTTGGTAAAATTTAATTCATTTAGAACACCGCAAATTTATTTTATTTATATGTTAAATAATATTTTTTTTATAAGTTAAAATTATTTTAGTCAATCATTTCTCAGTTTTGCGAATACCGGCAACAACGCTGAATAAAGATAAAATAACCTTACGAAATAAGCCCATTCTCCGTAATTAAAGGAGCTTCTTATTTCGATAACGGAGAATGAAGGATTGTCCCGCTACTGCGCAAAATCGAAATAACAAAGGAGTAAGAGCACTAAAAATTCAAATATCTTTTTTGTTGCAGATGGTGAAATCGTCTCAGATTGTTCGGATGAAAACTATTGGTCTTGCAATGACAAGAATATAGATAATAAACCAGTGATAAATCTGCCTGACGGTACGACGTTTAATCATTTACCCTTCCACCCCGTTCACAAGGGAGCTCCTCAAGGAATCTGTTCATCGCCAGTTAATGTCTACATGCACCAATACAGGACAGGTAATACATCTTATGGTCACTCTTTTATTAATATAAATGAAGATGTTTAATCAATAACGACTGTATTTTACTAACGTCGCATGAAGTTTTACAAATAAATTTGCACTTATTTATTACATGCTTTCATTTGGATGGACTGAATTCGTTCAGCAGCCGCCTGCAAATAGAGATATGTAGTTTGTTTTAGAGGACTAGGCGTGTAATGTTGAAAACGAAAAAAACCGTTGAAAAGGGCTAATATTTTGCCATTGCCAATTCCATGAAACAACTGCGATGAGTTCTATTAAAGCGCAATCTGGAAGTACAGTTTTTAGGCGAGATGATACTTTGTATACAAAATATTCCGAGGACATAGAAGTACCACGTATTTTTATACTCAAAATAACTCGATTGGACATGATTTACTTCTATGCAAAAGTGCTCCGTTTGTCCGTTAGAGTGTGTCAAAGTTTTCTTATTAAAAGACATTTTTTCAAATATTTTTGGTACCGATAGTGCGATTTCAATGAAATTTGGAATACATGTGTTTTGCTAGACATTCTAATATCTCCACCCCTACATAAATTATAGCAGACTTGTTTCGCAACTCTCCCAACGACTCCGATTTTTGTTTTATTTAAATTGTTATTTACTGTTTGTCTCTTGCAGTTTTCGAGAAAAAACGTATTTTTCGGAACTGGTTTTTAAAAAAATTTCTTATTATATCAAGTGTTAAAATGTTTCGTGGCGTATTGTTACATGCAGGAACGAAAATGGTGGCAGTTTGAACATTTTTTTGAAAGATTCGTACTATTTCCTGAATTAGATAAAATTGTAATTTGTAATATCATACTTGCTTGTTTTCGCTAACTACTCTTGAAGAATTAATAAGATGCTTGCAAGCCATTTTTTTTTCTCGAAAACTATCTGAGTTGACCTTCTTTTATAGGGCAGAAAAAATGAAGTAAATAAAGAGGTCAGCTGAATAAAAAAGTTCAGAGTCGTTGGGAAACAGTAAAACATAAGTCTTTCACATTTTAATGAAATTGGACTATCGGTTCTTACAATATCTTAAACAATGTGTTGAAAAAAACGTTAACGTCCTCTAACGGACAAATAAAGCACTTTTGCATAGAGGTAAACCATGTCCAATCGACTTATTTTGAGTCTAAAAATACCTGCTACTTCTATGTGACACGGAATATTAAAAAGTAATGTTAACATCACCGTGGAGAAGATTCCATCCTTTTAATCTTGACGCTAAAAGTTCTGACTGGGATTTTGACAGATTTAATTCTCGAACTACCTTATTAAATTCGCCCTGTGTGATCAAATGCGGCGCTGTTGAACATCCTGGCAGGTCAAACGAAGGATCGGAAAGTTTTACGCTTTCTGAACCATTACTTTCAGAATCGGTAGATTCGACTTTTTGATCCAAACACCAAGATTCTGGTGGAACTGGGACAGAAAGTTCATCACTATGCTTAACGGGCCGCAAAGCTGATGGTAAATTAAAATACTTAACAGTATGTTTCGATTTGGGTCCAATACCTTTAATATTTGTGAGGCAACAATAGCAATCAGTAGTATGGTCTCTCGGTTCTCTCCAAACCGTTGGTACCGCAAAGGTCATTTTACGATTGTCGCCTCTTAACCAACCTGTTAACAACGTTACACAAGTCGTACAACATATACGAGGGGCCCATAGTTTATCTTGGTCGCCAACTTTAATTCCAAAATAAAGTTAGTATGCTTTCAACATAAGCAAAAGTACGTTTTTGGGATTTAAAAGTTAGCTCTCCGCACACATAACAAAAACTGTTCGCACTATTTACACAATTTCTAGGCATTGCCCATAAAGCTAGTCTCGATCACGATAAACTGAAAACAACACACCGTTTTAACATAAATTAACAGTACTCAGAACATCTCAGTAACCTTCAACACATATACAGGGTGACTTCGAAGTTGAGTCATTTATTTTAACAGTGAGTAGATCTGATCAAAAGAAATGTTTTTTTCCTTTACCATTTTTCTGGTAAAATTAAAGTAACAAAGTTATAGCCCTTTGGAAGTTTGAGTACCGCCCTGTCTCAATAATAATATTATGTGCTCGTGTTTGGCGACAACGGATATAATCCGCCTTATCGGTTCATCGCATCGGAAACAAAAAAGCGAAAGAATTTGGAACGATGTTTTTACAATTATTTCATTCAGTTGTATACGTATACAGTCAGTGTCAGTCGGTAGTGAATAGTGGTGTAACTGTTGCGTGGCTCAAACGAAATAAAAAATGTTTATGCGGATCGGTTTCCCAATCGAGTGCAACCAACCCCTCGTGCCTTTGTTAATCTAGTACAACGGGTTCGTGAATCAGGTGTCTTAAGACCTCACATATGGACGGCATGCCGGTGCTCTAAGACCTCACGATCAAATACAGGTCCGCACTGAAATACTTGTCGGGAGGATACTTTATAAAACAAGGTAAAATTTTTTTTATTTTTTTTTTTATTTTTACACACATATTTTGGTTTATCTTCCTTCTACAATCATTATCTGAAAATTAATGACTCAACTTCAAAGTCACCCTGTATAACGTAACTGACTCGGCTGCTATTAGTCTACTAATAAACGCAATATGCTCTCTAAACACAGAGCTCGCATATAATAAACAGGAATAGACAGGTCTTAACATTATATATGTGCGACATCGCATAAACGCCGAGAAATGCAGCAATATGAGATGTTACGTATTGTAATTCATAAAAGTAGATGTTACCGAATATCTGTGGGTGATAGAAAAAAATTGTTTTTAGATTTGATTTAAGGGTCTCAAAATACATAAGATACACCCAAAAATTTGTCATGTCACAAATCCTGTCTTTATCAGTGTTACCTTTCAATTATGCGGTAACATTTTTATTCTGTTCAAGTTTCATATGGCTAGTTTCTTAACATATTTCTATAGTTATTTTTCTTCACGAAATGAAGTAATACGAGCTAATATTGTTTCTGATACGCGCCCGCGCAAATATTAGATATAAACTTTACAGAAACATGTCTCAATACAATACCTTGAACATTCTTGTCAGGAAGATATTTGTATGAACTAAGACCAAATGCGAGCGACAACTTAAAAGTCAATGTTCGCAAATGACCTTCCAGACTGTGTTTTCCTCGACTTCAAATTACTTCTTTGTTTCACACCACTTTAAAGCTCTAATCTTTCTTTACGTCAAAATTATGCTCTGCAAGAGTGAAATTATTTCATTTTCAAAAAGGACGCAAGAGAGGGTTACTATATCATTCAAAAAATGCGAATATGACGAGTTATTTGATAGCAAAATGCGACTTCCATCATAAGCAATGTATACTTTATCTGAAGTCACTTGAAACACTGTGAAATACCGGGTGCGTTTTATATATCTATATTTAACACGCTCTGTTGCTGCAAAAATCGCCAAATTTCGCAGCAAATATCCCCCGTATAAGATCAAAGGCAGTTTCACCGGTCTACGTCGAGTAAAGCACGCCTATGCGTGGACATAGCCAATGAGAAAGCGTGTATTTCAGAGCTCTGAACAAGTGCAGGTGGCTACTGAAAATTGAAACAGTTTAGCCAGTGCCGTGTAGCGGTGAATTAACGTGTTTTCTTTAGTCTGTCCGTGTTTTTTCATAGTTTGTGTATTTTTGATTTTTGAATACTCAGTTTACTTGTTGATTTAATTGTTGTGTTGATTGTTCTTGTGTGTCCTAAATATGGCTCTTTGGAGATCTTGGGAAAATGCTCCAAGCCACGAGGAGATGGTTGATGAACCTGTGCAGGCAGAATTCTTTCATAAAGATTTAGAGGAACATACCCAAAGAGTAATCCTAAATATGTATGATTGTCTGAAAAACGAAAATCCAGATTCCTCGCAAAATCAAATTTTAAACAGAATTTGTATCCTCACAAAAATCAGTCGGTCTACCATTTATCGAGTTATAAAAAGGGGAGATGTAGTCAACCATTCCTTCCACAGAAAGCGCATAGGGCAAAAATTAAAAAGAATAGACGTGGGTTTTCAGGAAGATATTCGTCGTATAATATACGGATTTTATAAAGAAAATTTGGTGCCCACGTTGGAAATGATACGGGATAAATAAAAAGATTATCCTGAAGATTTTTATAATTACAAATGCTTAGACTCACTGCACTGTATTGTAAAACTGTGTGGTTTTCAATACAAAAAATTAGATAAAAGAATGGTGATTATGGAGTCGTCTCGAATCGTTGAATTGCGCCAAGAATTTTTGCACAAAGTTAAAATCTATAGAGAGCAGAAAAGAAATCTGATTTACCTGGATGAAACGTGGTATGATACCCATGATGTTGTGCAGTACGGCTGGGTTGACGACAGCAACAAGTGCATTTTAAATGCACCATGCAACTGTGGAAAACGAATCATTATTCTCCATGCTGGCAGTGAAAATGGATTTATACCTAATGCCTTGCTGTTATCTGCCAAAAATATCAAAGAATCATGTGCCGACTATCATGAGGACATGACCTCCGACTTATTTGAAAAGTGGATAGAGCAGCAGTTAATACCAAAGATTTCCCCAAATTCAGTGATTATTATGGACAATGCGCCATACCATTCCCGACAGAAAAACAAAATTCCGAATACAGGCACAAAAAAACAAGACATTATTGATTTTATGAAGGATAAGGGAATGGAAATACCACAAAAATCAACCAAAGCCATATTATTGGATCTTATTAAAAGACAAAAATTTGAAAAAGAGTATGTTGTTGACAATCTGCTTCAGCAAAATGGCCATGAAGTACGTCTACCTCCCTATTACTGCATTTTTAACCCGATTGAGTTGGTCTGGGCTGCTTTAAAAAAAAAGTAAGAAAACATAATCAGACCCCTCAATTAAGTGAATCGCTATTGGCCACAATAAGAGATGCAGTATCTCATATTGCTGCCACAGACCTATGGAAGCAGTGTTCTAGGCATATTATTGAAAAAGAAAATGAATATTGTGTTTTGCCTCCTGTAAATCCCGTTGTAATTCCTCTACAAGATGAGTCTAGCGACAGCTCCAAAGGCGAGGATGATATATAAATACCTATAATGTAGGTCTTTATATACCTTTTTATATACCTACCTGCTATGTAAATATTTGCCTATGTCAAAAGTTGGAATTCTGTAATTTTTCCATTTCTTAACTTTCAGTCAACATAAATTAAACTCCCAATATAAGTATTTTTTATCCCAAATCAAAAAAATAAGAAGATAGTAAAATCCATTTATTGTGATATAAAAACATTATTATTATCGTTCTAAATAAATGACCGCACGCCTATGATACGTCATGAAATTACAAAGGACGCGCCGACCAAAGGTTTTTATGCTATTTCAAGTGACTTCAGATAAAGTATACTTAATTTGCGAAACTGTGTTACATTGCAAGATTTCCAAATACCTATCTACGTAATTAATTTTCAGCGTGTGCGGCAATGATGCCCGAAATGGACGATGGTAGCTCGATGACTGTAGGCAGTACTTACTCAGTGGTACCAGTGGTAAAAAAGAGATCCACCGCCAACAAGAAGGAAAGGCGACGAACTCAGTCGATCAACAATGCATATGCAGACTTGAGGGACTGCATTCCCAATGTTCCAGCCGATACTAAGCTATCCAAGGTAAGATAAGCGTCTTGTATGTTCCGATAGTTTCATATTCGTATATTGTTGTCAGATTGCCGAACTATCAACTCCTACGTAAGTAGTGTAAGTAATTTAAGTTTCTGCAACGCGTACAATTTCGTTAGTTACTCTTTCCTGATTTTTGCAGACCTTCCGGATGGATGGAGTTAGAGAAAGTTGACTGTGGGGCACACTTTGCACATTGCAAGTTTCCTCATACGAGCAATTAAAATTCTTATTATTCTCACACATGATCAAATCAAGTTTTTTGAAATCTAAGTGACTTTTTATTATTAAGAATTATATATATATATATATATATATATATATTTAATATTTTCTTCATATAAATTCCAATAAAAAACAGTTCTAAAATGAATGAGTACTATTGTCTAATTTCCCCTTTCGCCAAAATGTTAACAGTTCTAAATTTGGATCACTCACTAAATCGTATTCCGAAAAAAGAACAACTAAGTTTGAAAATCGGTCGTAACCCAATGATTAAGTTGACGCATTGTGGAAAATGACCTTGCACAAGCTGCACTCTTGGATGGGAGAGTAAGATCAATCTTGACAAGAATTTAAAAATTAAGATAAATGATACCTTGATCGAAAAAAAGGTATTTCAATAACTGCACGGACTCCTAAGAGATCTTCCCTTGTGCTTAGTACCATTTTCCCTCAGAACATTTCTAAGAATACCCATTTCGGCTATAAGCGTGGTTTTGTATAATCCCGGATATTTTCTATGTTAAGGCGGCTCCGATGCAGTGAGTTTCAAGCCATTTACAAGGGTTCAGCTGCTTCAAAACTGACACTCCATTTTTCAATATTTTTGAATGAAATTCATACAGTATGTTGAGAAGATAATTGCCCAGGGTGCTATAGGAGCACTTTTTGAAATTTTGTTTTTGCACAAGTTTTATGATGGGTTGAAGTGCGTACTTATTCTGTTCAACTTCGCGTTTTTTTTTTAAAGAAACTAGTGAAAAAAATTAAAGAGTGGCTCTATAGCACCCTGTGGGGTTTTGTTTTCAGCACTCTGTGAAAATTTCATCCAAAAATATCAAAAAATAAAGCTTCAATTTCGAAGCGCGCAAACCTCTACAAATTGTATTTTGGACGAATTTTGTCTACTGTTTCGTGCTGCCAACCCAAGCGTTGCGGCGCAATGTACGGACTAAGACAGGGACGTATTCAGATAATTTGGTGGCCCTATTTCATATAATATCGCGTAGATAAGTCGTTCTGCAAATAGGTACTCATAATCGCGATAGCTGATACTCCTCGATTTTAAAGCCGTTTTACGCCACGTCATTGGCAAGGAAGTATTGTAATCGTGAAAAACTTCTAAAATGAGATGTTATGTTTTTTAAGTCATATGACATCTACATCACGAAAAACTGTACCACTCATCAACTTGGAAATAACCGCTCGGATTTTTATGAAATTTCCACACGGGGTTACTAGTATGCCAAAGCATTGTAGTTTTAGTCCAGTGGTAACGATGCTATGGGCAAAAAAGAAAAAGTAACAATTTTATTGCTGAAACTCCGTTTTTGACATTACAGGGGTTACTTATCATTGACAGAAAAAAATTGTACTGCTTAAAAAGTGGGGGTTGGGGGAAATTGATTCTGAATGTTGCATCTTTGATATCAGTGAAACACGTTCTATTATTAAGAAACTTCTGATCCCAGTGATTATAGGAAATTTAAGTAACGAAAATCCGACGAATAATGTGCTCACGATTTGAAAAAATCGATACCTGCTCTATAGATTTGACACCAAGAGCCAACAGATTTATCTGCAAGTGCCGACAGTAGGGAAGAATGAATTCGGATATCACTCTAGTCAAGTATAGGGGAATTTAGCGTGGAACTTTAAAATTATCGATCTGTCAAGGTAATACGTTTTTGAGAACGATAATTTGGTAGATTTTATACCTGCATTTTCATTTGAATTTCATGAGCCGTGAAATGTACCCACATAATTGCCTAAGGTGCTATCAGAGCGTTTTATAAAATTTTGTCTTTTCGCAAGAATTATGGTGGGTCGAAATGCTTACTATCGAATTTGTGCTCAACTTTTTGATATTTTAAAAAGATCCTAGTGGATAAAATCGAAAAAGTGGATCGTTAGCACCCTGTGGACTTTGTTTTTAGCACGCTGCAAGAGTTTCATTTGGAAATAAAAAAAAATGAAACGTAAGCTGTGAAGTGCAAATCGGTTTTTAGGCGAAATTCCTCTACTGTTTCGTCCTGCCAGTCCAAGTGACGCGACGGTGCGTTCCGACTAAGAAAAAACGTATTAAAATAATTTGATATCTTTCCTAAAATAAATTCAAGAACTCAAATTACAATTCGTTTATTCATGCCAGTAAACACAATTATGTTTACAAGGGTCATGTGGTGCATGGTAACAATTGAATGAGAGTCATAAAAATATCTTATGCCGTCAAAATAAGAGGAAACAGTTAGGTAGTTCTTGCAAAGCAATAAACAGGTAGGCTTATACCTGGATTAAGTACATTTCTTGTATACTGTAATAGGTATAGTAGATGGAGGCGATGCTGCCAGAAAAGGATGTGTGCGATCAATAAACAAACCACAAGACTGAACTGCGGTGTCCAATGATTTTTGTATTGCCTTTTTTATTGCGTTACTAGAAAACTCTGTTGGGTATATGATGGAGTTTACTAGAACTTTACAGCTTGTTGTCTGCCTTGTTCTATAAACTTCACCAAATCGAGACGCTGTCAACCTTATCCTCCAATGAAGGCGCGACAAAGTACAGTCCTGTGATTTGGTGGCTTGTTCGATCTGCAAAATCTCGTCGTAACTTTTTTCAAGTTTCCCTAAAAATGTTCGCTTAGCAACCTCCAAATCAATGTAATTAATGTCAGGTTTCTGATAAAACTATTCATTTTCTTTGGAATTGCTATCCGAATTGTTAGTTATTTTTATATCAGCTTTTTTTGGTCTGAGTTTCTTTTCAAGATTCTTGCGTTTGAGTCTTTGTTCCATCTTAGAGATAAGCGAGGTTGAACTAAGCTTAGAACGCAAATGTATTTAGACCACATATACTGGCCGCTGGGTATTGTGGCTGCAGCACATCTTCCATGGTATGACCTCTTCTTGCAATAATTTATTCGCTTACCCCAATGTATTTTGCGATTACAGAGTTGACCTCATCATGAACTAAACTTACTGCATTCGTAATTAAAATGGTCGCATATGAACCTTTATTCTCCATTATCAGCCTTGATAAAAAAAGGCACTCAAGAAAAATCACACCAACAATAATTCAACAACACAATATCGACGAACAGTAAGAAGGGGAGAAAAATACTACATGATCACTTGCTGAGTACCAAAATAAGAAAAGATTCACATTCTAGATCGCTAATCGAAATCCGACTCTGTTAATATAAAAATTTACCTTGATATGCACCCTCAGTCACCCTTTCCTCTTTTAAAGTAGCGCCGACGACCGTCAAGGGCCAGCCTACCCTCGATTCCTTTTCACCCCCCCGTTACCTCAGCAGATGGTGCTCGTGATTGTAGGAGCCCCGTTAAGGCATAGGGGTTCCTCACTTGCGGTTGTCACCTCCAACGCCCCACCGGCGAACCTTCTTTTGAGTTCTCCAATCGCAGTATCCAGGATTGGGTAGTCCATGTTGAGCGGTATCTTTTTTTCGCAATCAATATGACCATTGTTAATTAATTTGACTCTGCTCGATTATCCAACAGAGGACATTACGAAGTATTCATCAAGTTTCTTCGTTATCGTCCGTGGACCAGCGCAGGTTGTGAGGTTTCTTACTCAGCTCAGCTCAGGTAGTATTGTAGGCTCACTGGGTGTGATTGTGACCATCAACAAGGAAAAAATTAAATTCTGTTACTTCTTGCCATTTATCTTTCCAAGAATTTTCAGTCCACTTGGTAACTTTATTTTGATTCCCCGGCCGTGTTTGAGCATTGTGCAATGCAAATGTTTTTTGGAGAGCTTTGTTCAGAATATGCCAGACAGAGTGGCATGCGCAAAGCCACCCAGCACTTTAGGGTGGCTACTGCTGAACCGAAACGTTGAGCACCGCAGGCAGAAGCGTGACGAAGAGAAGCAATATTTTTTCACGCTTGGCAATGAAACTTGCATGCTCCTCTTATCTCCGCCTCTGCCCTTCTGATGAGATTCTGAAAAGTGTGGTGTTTACACATCACGGGAAATATACAGGGTGACTTGTAATGTCACGTATTCCTGTTAAGGGGTGATACATTAGGTCAAAAGCAACCGATTTTGTCCTATAATGTTCTATCCAGAAGTTAACCGTTTTTGAGTTATTTGAATTTTATTTTTTTTTCATTCCGATTTCAGACGATTAAATTTGGAATACAAAAAACTACATGTTCGATTTTGAGTTTTTTGTTATCGTCGCATAGCGAACATTCCAATAGTTCATAATAAGTAATAAAATGTTGAAAACTTATAAAAGTTTTAAAATTACGCTTTTGAAATGTATGATTTTCTTGTTTTTTTTACTAACTTATTCGATAAAAATGCAATTTTCTGTAAAAAATCCCCTAGTAATGAAATGTGCAAATTATGTAAATAATATCTCTATCTAACAAGCGTTCATTTGAGGTATAAAAGTTACAACTAACTCAAGTACAAAGACATAAAATTAAAAAAAGATGAGTAAAGTTGTACGAACGATAATTACGTAGAATAAATAAAAGGCTTTTATTTTAATTACAGTTTTATTTAATTACATTTCCTTTAGTATTTCACAGATTCTGCTCAAATTGTAATCCCCTGATACGAATACATGCCCGCATTCTCTTACGTAATTCACTTTTGGTAACGCTAGTTGTTAAGCGGCTTTTTATTTGGTCAGCTGCACTGATTATCCTTGTAATTAATTCATCGCGCGCCCAACTAACAATTATCACTCCTATTAGAGTTGCAAGAATGATTATACAGTATTCCTTAAACAGCATTGTATACTGTAAGAACATTGGCAAAACCCTGTTAGAACTGCTATACAAGCGGAATGGGCACACGTAATAGGACACTTCAGACATTTAAGAGGTTGTATAAGGGCTGCAGGTAACAGTTATACAACAAAAGTGTAAATCTCTATAGGAAATTTGCGTCAGTGCAAGATTCAGTTTTTGTCAACTATACAACTATTCTGTTACGTGATTCTACTTTATTGCAACCAAACTATTTCTTATGTATTGTATAGACGAAGAAGAATATATAACTAACACATTACAGTCTTCTTGTTTACTTACATATCGGCCATTGTGAATTTCATACACAGGTATATGATAAACTTCTACACTGTGATATAGGGCTATTGAATTACTTGCGCAGCAAATTTTATTGTGATTATCGTGCAAATTAGTTACGCAATTTCTACGGGCTTCGTATTTGATTCATATTTTGATAATGATCAAAAGTATGTCTAGATTTTTAAGATGGAAAACTGAACTTATCTGCGTTAAATCTTCCACAAATCCTATATTTAGACACAATTACACTAATGTTTACCACTTTATATCTGTATATCTGCTTGCCCAATATGGCGGGTGGTTGTGTATAATCATGGCATCGTCCATGTTGTCTTTATGTTATTAGAATATTTTGGTGTTGTCTGCAGGTGTTATACAACAATTTGAAAAATGTCTGAAATGAAATACAGACAGAGTCGAATGATTTACCCAGAATTTGTACCATATCTATATCTTCTGTTTGAACAGTTGATAAAACATTTTGAACCAATATGCACCCGTTGTTTTTCTTAAAACATTGGTTATGGCATTTTAACAAAAATATGACAGCAGAAAGTTAGGTTATATTGAAGTTGTATACCAACGTATTAAGCACATGTACAGCCTTTAACAGTTACTAAACAACAGTTGTATAAGTGCTTCCGTTGGGAGCAACTTGTTGGCTAAAGTAGTAAATTGCACAGCAAAACAACAAGGCTCGGGTTTGTTTTATAAACGTTACCATGGATGCCACAACACAACCATTTTGACTAACGTGCAAATATGCCGTATAAAATAGTTGTATAAACGTTTATGCAACAGTTAAAATTTTGCCCTATAAGGTGTTGTATAACTATGCTATAAGAATATTTTAAACACCTCACTTTAGAGCAAATATGTTGCAGAAAGCAAATTTGCATTCCACACCACATTAAGCTAGCATTTTGGTGTTCAGGCAACAACAATAGAGAGCTTTTATGGCTGAACGGTTCATTTACCAAAAGCTTATACCACTACTTTGCTAGTTGGGCGTATTCTTCATTTGTAAAAGTTTGCCCGTGCTCGCTATGGCGAGGTCCTGGCGGATCTGGGTCTGCCATGATGATAAAGAAACCACTCGAAATAAATTGGGAAACTCGAAAATAATAATTGTGCGTAAAACGTGTGCGCGTACGCAGTAGTTGATACCAACTAAACCTAATTCTCACTCGGCGTGCGGCGATGGCGTAACTACAATGATGAATAATAACAGCTCTCTCTCTCTCACTCTTCCACTAAGTCAGCTCTTCTCGCTCGCTTCCTCGTCGAGCCGATGCCATAAAACAATCATGGCATGCGAGTCCTTTGAGGACAGTAACGACTTGTCCAAACAGGTAATACAAATTCCTTAAAAATCCAGCCTCTGTGGGTGTCATTGTTGTTTCTCTGCATGTACTTCAGATAATTGAACGCTTAATACCTCAAATGAAAGCTTGTTAGATAGAGATATTATTTACATAATTTGCACATTTCATTACTAGGAGATTTTTTACAGAAAATTGCATTTTTTATCGAATAAGTTAGTAAAAAAAAGAAAATGATACATTTAAAAAGCGTAATTTTAAAACGTTTGTAGCTTTTCAACATTTTATTACTTATTATGCACTATTGGATTGTCTGCTATGCGACGATAACAAAAAACTCAAAATCAAGCATGCAGTTTTTTTGTATTTCAATTTTAACCGTATGAAATCGGAATAAAAAATAAAAAACTTAAAATTCAAATAACTCAAAAATGGTTAACTTTTGGATAAGACATGATAGAACAAAATCGGTTGCTTTTGACCTGATCTATCACCCCTTAACAGGAATACGTGACATTACAAGTCACCCTGTATACATGATGGTTAGGCTATACTTGCCATAGTAATAGCCTAATATTTCAATAAAATGTTGCTCGCTTAGACGAACCATTAGGAATATTTCAAACATACGATAATGCTCCAGTACCAACCTTAAATAGAGCCCGCTACTGATAGTGAGTTTTCCATGAGCTGCCTTAGTTCGAAGAAATGCCATTTTCGAGTCGAGAGCACTGTTTTGAACTTCTAATGATTGAATTTAACCATTACGGAAAAGTAAAATACGAACTTTGTATATGAATAAACAAATTTCTTAATCTTTATTTTGTAGTTATTGATCTGTTGTTTCAGATAAAAACCCTTCGACTAGCTACTAGCTATATTTCATATCTAACGAGAGCCTTGGAAGGCAATGACTTGGCTGGAAGTTTCAAGGCGGAGTTGGGTAATATGCATAATAATGTTAGAAAATCCTCGTCTGTATCTTCGTTGCAAGTATCGGGCATGAACACCAATGAAAGTAGCACATCCCCAACGCATGTGGAGTTTGATCCGTTAGCAGACGATACAGTAAGTTTTTGTTTGCTTATGAATCTACACATATTTTTTTTCAACTTATCAATACAGATTTACACCTCCTAAGAATCATCGCAATATTACTATTATTCCGGTATAAAATACATGAATCCGGACAGATATCTCAGTCAACAACAATTTTTAGGATAAATGAGAACCTTTGTATAATGTATTTTCACAGCCAACCACATCAGTACAACGTGAGTAGCCGATCTACTTGACATTAACAATAAATGATAGTTTTGACGGCTGTGAATTTTTCGCAGTTGCGTAATTTTGAATTTTTGTTTACTTTCAACGCATAAATACAGAGGTATTGTCATTTTAAAAATAACATATTTGCTTTTTGACTTGATATACAGGGTGTTCCTTAATGATATGCGAATATTTAAGGGCGTGAATCTACATGAAAAATTGATGTTAGTTTGTTTTATAAACTATGGTCCAAAAACGTTTCCTTACAAAAACTCGGGGTGTTGCAAGTTTAAAAAAAATATGTAAATCAATTAATATTTTTAGAATCGCTTCAGATATTTCACTGATACTTAGTACGTACTGAAAGTTATTAAAGTTGCATATTTTTCAATGCAAACATAATTTTTAGCTATAACAGTGGCATGCGTACGGGTATTGATTTCGACATTTTTTAAGAAAAAAAAATGGTAAGCCAATAGTTTTTTGCCAAATAAAAATTATTTTTGAATTCCCCGTTCTATTCAAAACAAATGATCTCTCTTCAGTTGCTTTCCTTCGATGCGCCATTTTTGAGTAAAAAAAAACCGTTCTATTGTCTAATTTGCAAAATTATTATTAATATAATTGGAAAAATTAAACACATTAGGGGTAATGAATAACAACAACTGACAGCATAAACATAACATAAAAACCAACGAAATGATAACAAAAATTGTTGAAAATGGCCCCCTTCACTTAGTATGCATGTTTCCTCCGTCCTTCTCATGGAATTGCGCACTCGTTGAAATATCCCTGGAGTGTTTTTTATTCTATCACAAGCTGCAACTATTCTTTCTCTTAATTCCTCTACGGTGTTAATGGAACTTGTGTACACTAGTGTCTTAAGATAGCCCCACAAAAAGAAATCTAAACTGTTGAGGCCTGGGGACCTTGGTGGCCATTCTTGGGGCCCACCGCGGCCAATCCAACGATTTGGATAAACAGTTTCTAAATAATTACGAACAGCTACACTGAAATGCGCTGGTGCACCATCATGCATGTACCACATATTGTTTCTTATTACTAACGGAACATTATCAATCAGCAAAGGCAACTGTTGTTGAAGAAAATTGAGGTCGTCCCGGCAAGAAGAATGGGCCAATATAGTGGTTGCTAAAATTCCTGCCCATTCGTTATCCGAAAATTGAGGTAAGTCTGTCCGTCAAGTCGTCCCGGCAAGAAGAATGTTGTTGCCAATAATTCCTGACCATAAATTAACCGAAAATTAGTGTTGGAAATGGGTTCCGGTTACGGCATAGGGATTTTCTTCTGGCCACAAATGATTATTGTGGAAATTCTGAATGGCATTTCGAGAAAAATTAGCTTCGTCCGTGAACAGAATCATTGATTCAAATTGCAGATTTTGTGTAAATTTTTGAAGATACCACTGACAAAATGTCACACGCCTTGGAAAATCAATGAGAAGGAATGCCTGTACTCTCAAAATATGTTAAGACGGCGATGAATATTAGAAAAGGTTCGACTATCTGGCAAAGCACGATCGGGATATCTCTGGTGATAAATCCGTCTGGCTTGCTCTCCGTTACCGTCGGCAAGGCCATATGCGTAATACATTTCCGCCATATCTGCATTTGAATAATTCACCATTATTAACAAGATTGTAAAAAACTAAATAATGAAAAAGATGTCACAGCGAACAGATTTGAATAACAGAGACTTGTCAGATGCCAAACCAGTGACATATTCCAGAGCAACTATAGATATTTATTGCTAAATTGCATTCTTCAGTTAGGTATTACATTAATTTTCTCGGACAATAGAACGGTTTTTATTTTTTTTACTCAAAAATGGCGCATCGAAGGAAAACAATTCGGAAGAGATCATTTGTTTTAAATTGAACGGGGAATTCAAAAATAATTTTTATGTGGCAAAAAACCATGGCGTACCGTTTTTTTCTTAAAAAATATCGGAGTCAATACCCGTACGCACGCCACTGTTAAAGCTAAACATTATTTTTGCATTGAAAAATATGCAACTTTCTTAACTTTCACTACGTAGTAAATATCAGTGAAATATTTGAAGCGGTTCTGAAAATATTAATTAATTTCCATTTTTTTCCTAAAACTTCAACACCCCGAGTTTTTGTAAGCAATCCTTTTTAGACCATAGTTTATAAAGCAAACTAACATTAATTTTTCATGTAGATTCACACCCTTAAATATTCGCATATCATTAAGGAACACTCTGTATTTCTCGGCTACATCTTGATAATAGTACCAATATGTGGATACTTATAATTGTCAGAGTTTTTAACATCAGTCATGCTGTGCCTTAAGTACTCCCCACGCCTACTAGCGAGGAGGTATTCTATTCGCGAAAAATTTCGAAAATAAAAACCATGTCAATAATTTTCGTCGGTATGTCTGTCAGTCCATCGGTATGTCCGGAAATCCTTGCCCCGTCTATTAGATACTTAAGAAGTACCAGTCGGATTTTGATGAATTTTCCACACACAGTGACTACTATGCCAGGGACGAAAAAGCTTTATAAGTTTTGAAAACCGGCTCAGTGGCGGCGGAGCTACGGGCAATAAAACAGAAAAAACAAAAATCGCTCATACCTTGTTTTTTCACATTTCCAAATGTCATGACCATTTTCGGAAAAAATTTTGTAGGGATTAAAAATGTGTTGACCTTGTAGGGGGATTGGAGAAAGTTTGTCTCAGTTTATTGTTGGTGGTACATTCATACCCGAATTCTACGCACCTGTTAGTACATATATTATACATCATATATTTCCCCATACATTTGCTCTTGGACTTGGACATATCGCGTCTAGGTCGCACTTGCAGTACGTTACGAACTTACCCCGTATCCACAAAATTCTTCCTGCGACTGTAAGCTAATCTCACACTTCTTACCGTCTTTACTTTCAGTAGGGGGAAGTTTCTAGATCGCAGCGATATCAAATGGGTGGGACTATGGACTAATGGTCATGTTTGGATCAGTTGATCCGTTTAATTCTTTTTTGTTTCATAAACTTTCGTAATTACATTTTTCATAATAACAATTCTTTATGAACTGCGTTGCGCGGGTGCTTGGGAAGCGCAGAGTCAACCTACTTGACGCCGTTGTTTTCAGTTGCCTTAATAATATAATAATAAAAATCTGTACCATCATCAACGTAGCCATGCCCAGTGACTACAATGTACGGGAAAAAGAATCTGAAAAGATTCTTAAGTACAGGTATACTTTATCTGAAGTCACTTGAAATAGCATAAAAACCTTTGGTCGGCGCGTCCTTTGTAATTTCATGACGTATCATAGGCGTGCGGTCATTTATTTAGAACGATAATAATAATGTTTTTATATCACAATAAATGGATTTTACTATCTTCTTATTTTTTTGATTTGGGATAAAAAATACTTATATTGGGAGTTTAATTTAAGTTGACTGAAAGTTAAGAAATGAAAAAATTACAGAATTCCAACGTTTGACATAGGCAAATATTTACATAGCAGGTAGGTATATAAAAAGGTATATAAAGACTTACATTATAGGTATTTATATATCATCCTCGCCTTCGGAGCTGTCGCTAGAGTCATCTTGTAGAGGAATTACAACGGGATTTACAGGAGGCAAAACACAATACTCATTTTCTTTTTCAATAATATGCCTAGAACACTGCTTCCATAGGTCTGTGGCAGCAATATGAGATACTGCATCTCTTATGGTCGCCAATAGCGATTCACTTAATTGAGGGGTCTGATTATGTTTTCTTACTTTTTTTTTAAAGCAGCCCAGACCAACTCAATCGGGTTAAAAATGCAGTAATAGGGAGGTAGACGTAATACTTCATGGTCATTTTGCTGAAGCAGATTGTCAACAACATACTCTTTTTCAAATTTTTGTCTTTTAATAAGATCCAATAATATGGCTTTGGTTGATTTTTGTGGTATTTCCATTCCCTTATCCTTCATAAAATCAATAATGTCTTGTTTTTTTGTGCCTGTATTCGGAATTTTGTTTTTCTGTCGGGAATGGTATGGCGCATTGTCCATAATAATCACTGAATTTGGGGAAATGTTTGGTATTAACTGCTGCTCTATCCACTTTTCAAATAAATCGGAGGTCATGTCCTCATGATAGTCGGCACATGATTCTTTGATATTTTTGGCAGATAACAGCAAGGCATTAGGTATAAATCCATTTTCACTGCCAGCATGGAGAATAATGATTCGTTTTCCACGGTTGCATGGTGCATTTAAAATGCACTTGTTGCTGTCGTCAACCCAGCCGTACTGCACAACATCATGGGTATCATACCACGTTTCATCCAGGTAAATCAGATTTCTTTTCTGCTCTCTATAGATTTTAACTTTGTGCAAAAATTCTTGGCGCAATTCAACGATTCGAGACGACTCCATAGTCACCATTCTTTTATCTAATTTTTTGTATTGAAAACCACACAGTTTTACAATACAGTGCAGTGAGTCTAAGCATTTGTAATTATAAAAATCTTCAGGATAATCTTTTAATTTATCTCGTATCATTTCCAACGTGGGCACTAAATTTTCTTTATAAAATCCGTATATTATACGACGAATATCTTCCTGAAAACCCACGTCTATTCTTTTTAAGGTTTGCCCTATGCGCTTTCTGTGGAAGGAATGGTTGACTACATCTCCCCTTTTTACAACCCGATAAATGGTAGACCGACTGATTTTTGTCAGGATACAAATTCTGTTTAAAATTTGATTTTGCGAGGAATCTGGATTTTCGTTTTTCAGACAATCATA